CATGAAGTCCTGAGCCGCTCCCGATAAGGCGGTCTCGGCGTGGACATTGAAGTCCCCCAGCACAAGCAGCCGCTGGGACTCCAATGCCAGGTCCGAGACCACCCCCGCTAGCTCAGTCAGGGAGTCTGTAGTGCAGCGAGGTGGACGGTACACTAACAGAGGGTTAGTGTACCACACGCTCTCTAGTTCCCTCTTCTTTCACTTAAACGCTGCCAGCTCCTCAGTGAACCAAGGAGCTGGTTTAGCTCGGCTACTTGAGAGGGGACATTCTGGAGCGATCGTGTCTATTGCACGTGTCAGATAGTAGGTTGTAAGCCAGGAGAGGATGACCATCAATAGTTAGGTCTACCTCCTGCATCCGTGGTGACAGTGATCCTTCCTTAGATTCTTCTGACTGGTCAGCAGGGATGAAGGGAAGGTGTGAAGTCTTGGCCTAGTTTTTACCCCGCTGTTTGCTCCCTGGAGTTGGACTGTTCCATTCTGCTAAGTTTTAGAGTAGGAGCTTAGGCTCCCCCTATAGGTCGAGCCATTTGGTTCAGCCCATTCTGGTTCATAGCCTGGTGGACGGACCTTTTATTCCATTCTTTTTGACATAGTTTGTAGTAGTTAGCCAGAAAGTGTCTGATCTGGCTTAGCAGTCTGAACAGGCCATCCTTAGCACATATTTGCCTCATAGAATAGCTATATTTGCCATATAGATTAGTATATATTTGCCTTAGAGTCTATAGATTATAGTATATGTTATAAAGAATAGGTGTATTTACCTCATAGAATATAGTTGTTGTTACCTCAGAGTTATACCTTATACCAATTCCTTATTTTTCTAATTCTATACCATCATAATCAAACTGCACCTTTGTATACCTTGTTTTGATTCATCTTGATTGTTTAGTAAACTTAATTGGTTAATTTTAGTCTCGTCTGTAGAGTATTATTTTGGGGGCATTAAAGTACATATAGGGCATACCGATGTTCACTGGGAAAATAGCCAGACACATATAGTTTTCCCTTAATCTTCCCGGTTGTGCCATCATAGAAGGCAAGTGAGGAATGTTGCACATCCTAGCTTACAAATATATTACAAATATATTATTGTTCTGACTTTTTATCTTACACAAATGGTTTCCTGTTTGCCCCCCCCCCAAAAGAACCTACCTCAAAAATAAGACCTAGCATGATTTTTCAGAATTTTGAAGACACTCCAAATATAAGCCCTACTTCAAAAATAAGCCCTAGTTACAGTTCATAAAAACTTAATTTTGAAAAATATGACATTTCTTGCAAATAAGCCCTAACACATCCTTTGGAGCAAACATTAATATAAGGCCCTGTCTTATTCTCGGGGAAACAGAGTTGTAAATAAAAACTAGATTTTCTAATGGTCTTACCTTGACCTAAGTTAAAACAATCTGCAGTAAGCAACAATGCATCCCTAAAAGGTGACAGTACAGCTATCCAGGGTGATTTAATGGTGAAACCCTTCAGAATGAATGTTTCCTCAATTTCCCCATTATAACCTGTTTCAGTGAAATTTCCACTTCAGTAAAGGGAGAGAATAGTTGGTGGGTCACACCAGGATGGGCAAGTCATTGATGTATACCCGTTAACTCCTCCAGAGGACTACTCACTTGGTGCTTCAGAAGTGGTACATAGGACCTTATCACATTGATTTTTGGTTCCATCCTAGGATGCTTGCAGAATGGAGTCTTGATGGAGTCCATCAACATGATGAATAGCTACTTCTGGCAGGGCTGGGTCCTGGTTCCATCCTGCAAGCATCATAGGACAGAGCCCAGAGAACACAGGAGGTTTTCCATGTTCTTATAAGAAAAGCTGGGGGAAGCACGGAGATGCCCCAGGTGGCAACACTTCCCCTGTTGGAATGGAGAAAGGGGCGATGCAGGGCACGGGGTGATGATTTGCCCTACTGCCTGCCGGATTTGCATCACTGCCCTATGGATGCTCCCCTTTCCTCTGGCTTAAGTTGCTTAATGTGAAGTACAAACCCAGAAGGTTTGCATTTGCAAATTCATCTTGATTCACACTGTGCTGTCTCACCTTAAATAAAAGACCTGATAAATTAGGTAAATTCCAAGCGATACATCAATACAATGAACAAAAGTTCAGTTAGGCAAATGCATTAGAGATGACACAACATAATGCTGAATAAATTGAGAACTAAATAATATAAGATGTTTTTTGTCATGTCAGGAGCAACTTGAGAAACTGCAAGTCACTTCTGGTGTGAGGGAATTGGCCATCTGCAAGGATGTTGCCCAGGGAACACCCGGATGTTTTGATGTTTTATCATCCTTGTGGGAGGCTTCTCTCATGTCCCCACATGAGGAGCTGGAGCTAATAGAGGGAGCTCATCCGTGCTCTCCCCGGATTCGAACCTGCGACCTGTCGGTCTTCAGTCCTGCTGGCACTGCGTCACCAGGGGCTCCTATAAGATCTTATGAAACGAGGAGACTGTCAAGATTACCCTATAAAGGACAGCCCTGACTCACTGGGCTGATGCAAGGCACAAAAATGCAGCCACTCTCCTTCAGTTTTTCCACAAGGCAGAGGAATGGGAGAACAATAGCACTGGAGGAAGAATGACTTCAAAAATATATGCAGCTCTTTTTGAGTTGCTCTTTTAACCTCTCTGACTGATTATATATCCAACATTTTACAAGTCAGGAAATTAAGAATAGCTGAGTGCATACATTGCACAAATATTAATTTGTTCGTTGATTTCGAATATTACTGCAACATTACTTTTACATTGAGGTAGGTTTGAAAGATTTATACAGATTTGCATTGATTATTGATTTAGATTCCACTTACCTGGGAGTAAGTTCCATTGATCTCTCAGTAGACATTAATAGAGAACTGAGCTGCAAGAGTGCATCTGATTTATTCCATTGCCGTATCTTTTCATGTGCTTAAAAATTATATAGAAATACTAATGGCTTTCTCATTACTTATTCATTACATTATTGAGTCTTGCAGGTGTGAACTGGCCACTGATTGAATTGTTAAGAAAACTCCAACTGCCTTCAACAATTGGTTTACATGATCATCCAATCTTTTCTGTATTACCATACTTACATACTAGGGGTGCACTTATTTACATTATTTAGAATATTTTTGGAGGGGGGATAATTTAATCAATTTTCTCTCCACTGCAGAAATATCTTTGAAATTGATGGTTCCCAAAGATTCTTGAAGCATAGAGAAAGTCTCCAGAAATGCACCCTTTTCCTGTGAGAGCAGCTAAGGTTATCATTAGCTATGTTGTGATACCTGGCACATGATAAGGGCATCTGGAGAATCCTTGGGAGGTTTCCAGTACACCAATATAGGCTTGAAAAGGGATCTTGTAGCACCTTAGGGAGTGAGAGAATGAAATTTGTAGCATGAGTACTTGTTGACTGTGTAGGTTTACCATGAAAAGATGGCACATCACTGCCTCACAGCATGCATGTACACTGTAGAGTTAATTTAGTTTGACACCACTTTAATTGTCATGGACCAATGCTATGTAATCATGAGAGCTGTAGTTTTACAAGATTTTTAGTCTTCTCTGTTGAAAAGTGTGATGCCTCACACTTTCATGATTTCAGAGCATTAAGTCAAGATTATATTAGATTATATTAAATCTACAATAGACGCAAGCCAAATCTACTCCCTCAGATTGACTACATCCTCAGACCAAATAAAATTGGTCTACAAAAGCTTGTGCTGCCAACTTATTTAGTCTCTAACGTGCTACAAAATCCATTTGCATACTGATATTCCAGATTAGCATGGCTGTATCTTTGAATCCCATCAGTATATAGTCAGTGGTAATCCTTGCTCAGCACCAACAATCCTTCCCCCTGACTGCTGCATGGCTATATTGAGGGAAAAGAGCGGGGGGCATTATGTGAGCATTGCTGTCAATTGTTTGCGATAGGTGGTTACAGGGAAGTCAGGTGAGGATCACCATCAAAGGTTAGGTCTACCTCCTGCATTGGTGGTAGCAATTATCCCTGATAAACTTCTAGTGCTCCCATTCCCTGACTGGTAGGAGGGGATGGAAGGGAAGGCAAATGAGGAAGGTTGCACAACTCTCCGGCATCCACCAGGGCATCCCAGATGTTTTCTGGAGTTTCCAGGAAATGACACTGTTGTTGCTACAAGCCAGTTACTGGACAATAGCTGACCAAAGTCATTGACTCCCTTCAGCCAATATATGACTGATGATCTGCTTAATGTTCTGGGTTATATGGCTGTAAAGAAGGGCCCTAAGTCTACACTGACATATAATCCAGAACAAGGCAGACATTATGTATTGTCTGCCTTGATATTCTGGATTGAAGATGTCCTCATTCCTCACATTCCTATGATTACCAAGGATATAGCATTTCAATGTAAGAGGATGCAATTCCCAATCCAATTGGCATTTGCAATCACCATCAATAAAGCTCAGGGCCTATCTTCAGAATTGTGCAGTTTAGATCTAGACATGGATTGTTTCCACATGGACAATTATAGTTGTGTGTTCTAAAGTCAGCAAACCAGACAATCTCTACATCTGCACAGGCAATGGAACAACAAAACTATTGTATACCCACAAGCATTGTGAAATTACATATATTAGAAACCTGATCTTTCTCCTTTCTTTCTTTCTTTCTTTCTTTCTTTCTTTCTTTCTTTCTTTCTTTTCTATTTAACTAGACTGGGCCACAGCAACACATAGCTGGGTACAGCTAGTATTTAATTTTTTTTTCTCCATGAAATGCAAAGTTGGAATGATAGGGTTCCCAAACAACTCCATCTAATCCAGTTTTCCTCACCCTTTTTACCATGAATACGTTTCAAAAACCCCTGCATAAAAATTATATTGACAGTTCAGAAAAACATGTTTATTGTTATTATTTCCCAATCAAAATCTCTTCCAAATCCCCAAGTAACCTTGCACTGGACTCTAGGGCTAAACAAATCACATGACCAGGATCAGATTTCCTTACCTTTGGCAGGAGTGTCTCTGTTTGTGTCTATCCATCAATGTGTATTTAAAATTCAGGAAACTGGGCCAGCTGCACAACCTGTGTATGCCTTTTTCTGTGTTTGTGTTTTTGTATTTAGCAGTACTGTATAAATAAAAAGAATTTGTGATTTGCTTATCCTGCAGAGTTAATCCTGTGTTTCAGAATAATAATCTGGATAAAACTTTCAAAATGTCCAAAGCCTGACTGTGAAATGTGACTGTAAGGCTATAGCTAGCTTTTAGAACACTAAAAACAAATGGATATTTTCTGAGCATGAGAATCTGCCTTACACTGTCAAACCTCTGATCCTTGTAGTCCAGTACTATGTATTTTTATTCTAAACTGTGAAGCAGGGATATTACTCAGTGCTGTTCACTAATATTCTTTTAGAGTTTGGACAAAGCTGAAGAATCTACTTTAATTCTGGTCAAACGATGTCATCTTTAGACTGCATCTTTCATGAGATTTTGCTGAAATGCATTGTTTAGTAGATTGAGAAAGTGGCAATTCTGAAAAAATATTTCTAGTCAAGCAGTCATGACAGTCAAAATTGTGCAATTTACAGTATCCTCTATTCACCCTTGTATGCAGCTAATACCTCAAACTTTTATTTTAAAAAGCACTAATCTATTCTGATAATCACCAGCCTCCATTATTAGCATATATTGGTCCATGGCCTGGAGAAACCCTGTGGGGAATGGGGCCTTTCTTGATACTATCGGGAAAAGTTAGGTGATGAATCATGTTTGATGCACTACTGAACCCCTGTAGGAAGATTTCATTATGAATAATGATGATCTAAAGATATGTTGGCTCACCTGACTCCTGTACATAGCTCACTTCACCTTTCCACAGACTGACAGATTTACCTTCCTGTGCTATTGAAAGCTCATGTTCTTTTTAAAAAATCTTTTAAGAAACATGCCACTGAACGCCTATGACCAGAGGCTGTGAAATGTTTGAAATTAGTTATACATGTTATCTATCTTACAATTCATGTTTCAATTGTTTCACCAGAAGAATGTAACTGTCAGAAGGCATTCTGGTTTGATTTTGAAAGAAGAGGGCTGAGAATGAATGGGTTAAAGAATATCTGAAAATGATGATATTGCTCATGTTTTTAGCCTCAGGTGATATCTAAATATAAAATCTGGCATGTGGACAAAGGAAATCCTTTGCTTAGGTTTTTGCATCAAACACATTTGCAAAGAATCAAAAATTATAGTGTTCAGTCATCCCTTTTCCTCTGAACATTCAGGGATGGCATCCACTATGCAGGCCTACAAGAATGTTATAAATGATAATTACTTAAAAAAAAAAAAGAGGCAACCTGCAAGATGAGTGTAGCACTTGAGAAGTATTAATTTGTGAATACAGCAGGCCCTCAGTATATGCTGAGGTTTGGCTCTGGGATCCCTGTTGTTACCAAAATCCATGGATGCTCAACTCTCGTTTCATATGACTTTGTAATGGCGCTTCTTATATAAAATGGCAAACATATCAAATGAATCCTGAAAAGCCTGGGGGTGTACAAAATGATGGGAGACAACAGTATACATCAGTGTAGTGCTCAGTTCATGGCAAAATGAAGCCCTGCTTTGGGTTTTTTCCCTGAATATTTTTGAGCCATAGTTGGTTGAATTCATGGATATGAATTCATGAATATTGCAAACAGGAATTTGAGAAATTGTGCTAAAATCTTTCGTTCCTTTCAAGCAAAAAATTCTATCTATCTATCTATCTATCTATCTATCTATCTATCATGTATGCAAAGTTTGGTTCTCACTTTTACTTTAAATTGTTCCAGTGCTTAAGATGAATTAAAGCTAAATCATTGGCCCCATCAAATTTATTGGCAAAAGTCTTATTGATTTCAAAAGGATAAGGATTAGAAAAGTGTGAAACATGCTGTAAGCATTTATTTTGCCATTCCATTTGCTAAACTTGATGAGAGGATTTGTTCAGAAAATGCAGGTGCCAAATTGAACTTTGGTGGGTTGCCACCAATTCATTCAATACTATCCGTTCCTCACTTTCAGTAAAGGTTTCACAATTGTTAAGATGTATGCTGTATATACTTCTGCATTTGTAGAATTTAGGGCAGACTGGGTTGATTTTTTCCATGGGTTAATGTAAGTGCTCTCTCCACTGTGGAGCCACTTCTGGCTCTTTGGGTACCTGGGCACAGTGGTCTCACTAGAGGATGCAGAGGGTGGGTGCAGATGCTGCAACTTCCAGAATCCTTCAACTTGCATTGGACTCATGACATCACCTCCATGGACCTCCTTTCCTACAACCCCTAAGTTGACATTTCCTTTCTGAGCTATTAGACTGGGTAGTGGTGGTTAACTCATGAAAAAGCAAGTGGAAGATCACTCTTTGCTGTATCTCTCTGCCTAGGCTTTCTTCCACCTCACCTATTGTTGCTGCTCTAGTTAAGACCCCATGTTCATGCTCTTTCTTGGTGCTTCTTTTAGGTTCTCCTGGATGAACTAAGCTCTACTCTACTCAGAAGGGGATATTCCATTTGTTATCAGAGTTAATAGTTAAACCATTAAGAGTACCTCAACTGCTATAAAAAAAAACAGCCTTCCCTCCTTAAATGTCTGGGCATGAAAATGGCAGCAGTAGTGGCCAAGGCTGGCCACCCCCTAAGGCTGTGCTGACACTTTCTCTTCACAGAAGGTTATAGCAAAATTTCAACCGAACAAAACCCACTGCTTCTAGTGTTGCAGCTTAATAGGAACCTGAATACTCTAGGGTTTGAAGATCCATCCATTTGTAAGGCACTTGCCCAATACATTCCCCCCAGTACTGGACGGCAGTAAATCCAACCACCTGAATCTGTTGTACACTGGCAATTCTGGCTAAGATGTCAGAACTGAACACCAAAACCAATGAAGGACTAAGGATTTCTCACTGGCTGCTCTAGATTGATCAACTGGAAATAAATTGAGATAAAAGGCCATTATTTGAAGACAAAAGATTTTATTTATATTTTTATATAACTGGGACTTGTTCTTTCTTTCACCGAAAACTGTTTCACCCCAAACAAGGGACTCAACAAGGGACTCTACAGTTCCAATCAAAATGTCCTGCTGATGTATTTTAGGAATCTCAGATGATGTCTTAGCATGAATGACAGGTTAAAATATTTTTTAAAAAATGAGCAAATTTTGTAGGTGTGGTCTACTCAACCTTGAATCAATTTTCCAAAATGTTTATGAAAGCTCTATTTCCTTTTAGTAAGTTGTGCAATTTACTAGTCCCTCCCCCAGCTACCATCCTGGTGATTTGGGCTAAAGCCTTTCTAATCCCAGCTGCAATCTTTCATGGAAAATCCAGTGTGTGCTTAACAGGAGGTTACCTGTAAAATATTCCAGCAAGACAATTCTTATTGGTCTATATAGACAGCCTTTGAAGCCTTCTGTTCCTTGGTTTGATGCCAGAGCAAAGATCTTGTGTCTTTGTTTCTATTTAAAGCCATCTGAGTTTTATATTTCTCTAAAAAGAATGAAATCCAGACATTAATCAACTATTACTAATCGTTACTTCAAGAAGCTATGCTCTGTTTTGACAAGATGTGCTCTGAAGTCCCTGAATTCAATTTTACCTCCAAGGTTTCTTTTTATTGGGGATGGAAAGCATGATACTCTTTGAAGACTGCTGGACTATAAGGTAAAAATAAAGGTTTCCTCTTGATATTAAGACTAGTCGTGTCTGACTCTAGGGGGTGGTGCTCATCTCCATTTCTAGGCCAAAGAGCTGGCGTTGTCCGTAGACACCTCCAAGATCATGTGGCCAGCATGACTACATGGAATGCCATTACCTTCCTGCTGAAGTGGTACTTATTAATCTACTCACATTTGCATGTTTTCGAACTGATAGGTTGGCAGAAGCTGGGGCTAACAGCAGGAGCTCACCCCTGCTCCCTGGATTCAAAACGTCGACCTTTCTGCCAGCAAGTTCAGCAGCTCATCAGTTTAACCTGCTACACCACTGGGGTGCTACAAGTTCCAGAAATTCTAGTTAGCAGAGTCAATGGTGAAGAATACTAGGAAATGAAACTCAACAACACGCAGGCCCGTAGCTAGGATTTCGTTTCGGGGGGGGGCTGATTTTTTTTCAGGGGGGGTTTCGCGGGGGGTGGGGGGCTAAATTTTTTTTCAGGGGGGGTTTGGGGGGGGCTGAGTTTCGGGGGGGCTGAGTCTGAGTGAAAGAGGGTCTAGCCTAGCAAACCTTTTGTATCATTATCCCAATACCCCCATGCATATGGGATATATTGAGTATGGTGATCAGATCATGATATGAATAAACATAACAGTTTAAATAATGCACCAGTAAGGCCTTTTCGCGAACCACCATGAGAATTTTGGGGGGGGGCTGAAGCCCCTCAAGCCCCCCCCCCGGCTACATGCCTGACAACACGTGAAGAGCAACATGATTCCCAGTCCTGTTCTAGATGGTGAATCACAGGCATAATATTCAACTCCTTGGTGAGACAATTAAAATTCATCAGTGTTGCCATTTTGAAATCATAATCCTGACTTTCAGTGCTGAAAGCTACAGAGAATGGAAAATCAAAGTGGTACAAAACAAATCTGATGTGATGGGGAACAGTACTTGGAAGAGTCGCCAGTCTGGGGTGTGCAGTACTATGGTGTGATGGGAATTAATTATTGATAAATTTGATGTGCTGGCAAATCCTGCAGGTGTAATGTTCCAGGCCTGTCATTTGGCACAAGTAAAAGAGCTCCCAGGCCATGTCCCATCACTTAGAAAGAAGAGAAATAAGTGCCACCTTTATAAAGCTCATTCATTGGGGAACCTCCATGTGCAGAATCTTGAAAACATTATATATATTGTTGAAGGTTTTCATGGCCGTAATCACTGGGTTGTTGTAAGTTTTCTGGGCTGTATGGCCATGTTCCAGAAGCATTCTCTCCTGACGTTTTGCCTGCATCTGTGGCAGGCATCCTCACAACCTCTGAGGGTGCCTGCCATAGATGCAGGTGAAATGTTAGGAGAGAATGCTTCTGGAACATGGCCACACAGCCTGAAAAACTTACAGCAACCCAATAT